GTCCTGAAGCTTAGAAATCTGCAATGATTTGTAAAAATAAGACAGCAAATAAAACAACAAAAAAGACATTTTTAATAAAAAACTAATACTTCAAAACATTTCTCCACTATCATAAATAACGAAAGCTTGTTTTTAGATAAAGACTTGAAGACCAATGAATCATTAAACTATGATATACTGGGACCAAGGGCCTTCAAGACACATACTGTAACTCCAAAATATTTGATCTGCCAAAGCTGGCTTTATGCTTGCTGAAGTTCAAAAACCAATCAAGAAATTTGCTAAGCTCTTACCTTCTGGATCTGAAACTTTTGTACATCATTATGCTTTTTTCTCTGAATATGTTTCTCAGGATGTCATCGTCTGAGTGACTAGTCAGCTAGTTCCTACATAAGCCAAGCAGTTTTCTTAGATTCCCAGGAAATGAAAAACCAGTTTTCACCTTATCCCTATGCAATTCTTTTTAAAAATACTCTAAGGTACATTATGTCAGCAGAAAACACAGGGCTTTGGATCCTGGGTGGACGGAAGCATCCTCCTTGCATCCTTGGTTTTGGCAACTAAGTTCAAAACATGGGAACTTCTGTGAGCTGTAGCTTGGTGACTCTGTTAATAGTATGTTGTTTTTTTGATATTTTTTCTGAAATACCTGATATTCCTCATGTGTTTGTACAGTTTAAATATTTTTCTTTGCAGTTTAGATTTTGTTCTGGCTGTAAAGTTTGAATAAGAATGACTATACTCAAGAAACCAAAAACCTTAGTGGATCTATCCCTACACTCCTTTCTCTCCACATTAAATGCATACTAATATTTTCTGGTATTGCAACTTTATAAAATGGACATTTTTGAGTAAAAGTACTAAATTCTACAGATGTTCACTGAAAGTTATGTTCTGTGAAAGTCTGATGTGGTTATTTTCAGTATGAGACAGCATTGGATGTGGTTTTGATTCCTAGCTAGTTAAAATATGTAGTGTGAAATAACGCAGAGAGCTATATCAACTCTACAAAAACTGACGGATGACTTTGGAATTAACTCATGTTAGTGGGTGGCACTACTGAAACTACTACTTTTCAATGTGTAACTTGTTGGCAAAAGAGAAGTTTACAAGTTTTTGTTTTGAGTGAATTAATCATAAATTTCAAGGTTTATTTTCTGGCAACAAAGCACTGAGAATATTGATCTGTTTCTTTGAACACAGCTTAACGTGTCTTGTTTTGTTGATACAAAATTTTTAGGAGTGCTGATAGTTTCTGCCTTTTGAAATTGTTATAAGGAAGCCCTAGCAGTGTAATTTACCAGAAAGCATTGCAAGTCTGCTTCCAATTTAGTGTAAAACATTTTTTGATCAGGATCATACTTGACAATTTAATTAGGTAGTCATATATTTTGATTTATTGCAACAATAATGTGCAAGTGGTCAACAACAATAAAAAGTTAGAGCTGGAGGAGGCTTTTTCTTTCAAAGTAGTTAATTTGTTTATGTGTACAGATTTAATAAATTTAATTATTTTGATTTACTAGTTCTCACTTCTAGGATTTTTTTAAACAGAGTAGAGGGTTTTATATGTTTTCTTAATTGAATTTCTTGCCCTCCTCTCTGTTCATTCAGGTGCAATATCTTATGCTATCACTCATTCCCATTGCACTTTGACATCTGAACATACCAAATATTGTGTAAAACTGCTGGTTTAAATGTTGTGGGTTTTTCTTTGAATGATTTTCCCTTTTCTTTGTATTACTGCTCTTCATTATGTTTTTCACCTCTAAATACTCCAAATCCTCCCTGTGTATGCAGAATACTAAGAACCATCTCTGCATTTTTTATATCTATGGACATGGATTATTAGCATACTAAGGGATAATATTCTGTCATGTGTACTTGTACAGTAAATTGTGGTTTTTATTTCACTACCTATAAGCTCATACTAACTTGCTATTCACCTAAATGATTTCAGATTATGCCTTCCTGGAGATAACTTTTTATTTTCCCCAAATGTATCAACTTGTCTTTTAAACATTAAAACCTTTCTACAACTTTAAGACTATCTTTAGATATTTATTTCTTGTTGCTATTTGCAATACTTTTCTATTAACATAATCATCAAAAATAACTGATAAGCCATTTTCCAGATTTTTCAGTTTTTAATGAAAATATTAAACATTATCAAAAGAAGTTTTTCACTGTGAAATTAGAAAAGACGTGGTTTGCATTGTAAGGATGTTGTTTGCAATTAAATACCTATTGTCACAGTAAGAAACCAAGCCTTTCTATATTACACCAATTTCAGCTGGGCTTCTGCAGAGAGTATGGATTTGGTGTATTGTTTTGTTTCAGGACATGTTAAGATATCATAGCATAAGAACTGCTCATTGTTTCAGTATATTTCTTACTCTGTACACAATGCCTTTTAATAAGTTCAGTGAAACACTTAGCTTGTTGTCTTAGTGATATATACCATAAAGTAAAATCAGTAAAATATAAAAAAAACCACTTAAGAATAAAGAACTTCTACTCTATCTGAAAACAGTCTGCAGAGCTCTCACTTGTGGTCCTAACTGTTAGAATTGCTTATAGCTCTTCTGCTCTCTAGGGTAGCAGATAGTGGCCTAAAAGCTCTTCACAGGCCTCTTGTATTCCCTTGGTTTCCTGTTTCTTACCTGAAGAATTTTGCTTTTGGTGACATTGTGACCAGAGTCTTCAAAGAACCTGAAAATGTTCCCCTTCATTTTCCTGCATCTCTGTGCTCTCCAGCACATTTCATGTTCTTCCATCTTCCAGGCAAATTGAAGTAAATGTCTTTTATGTTCTTTCCCTCCTGTCGTGGTTTAGCCTGGCTGGTCACCAGGTGCCCACCAAAGCCGCTCTATCACTCCCCCTCCTCAGCTGCACAAGGGAGAAAAAACACAGTGAAAGGCTTGTGGGTCAAGATAAGGACAGGGAGAGATCACTGATTAATTACTGACAGGGGCAAAACAGATTGAACTTGGGGTATTAATTTATCACCAGAAAAATCAGAGTGGGATGATGAGAAATAAAACCAAATCTTCAAAAACATCTTCCTCTTTAGAAATGCTGGGTTTATCAATAAAAAGTATTTCTCTGTACATTATTTTTGTACCAAATACAATATTTGTTTAGTGTATAAAACAGGCAAATATCTCATGGATTTGCTTGCTTAAGACATTTGTTATTGCTTTGTTACATTTTTTATTTTAACATTCTTGATCTTTCAGCTGTTACTTTAGCTCTTTTCCTTTTGATTAAAGAATTTCAGAGTCTATTGATTTCCAGGCTGACTTGCAAAAACTTTATCCAGACACCTTCTATACTTTACTGGTTGGTGAACAACACCCTATTTCAAACACACATAAAATTCTCACCATGTCTCCTTTGGTGATTTCACTCAGAAGTGTGTCGCACTGGTCCTTATATGCTTTGTCAGTGTGTATGCTAGTAAGTTCACTTCACACACGGGATAAAACTCTGTAGTTCATTACTGACTCTCGGCTGAAACTACACATAACAGGATTTGATGTTGTGAAGTGAGGAGAGAGTAATCTGATCCTCAGCATCATTAATGTAATAAAATGATGTGCTATTTTTCCCCTTTATGTACACACATACACAAACACACAAAGCAGCTTACACCTAAACATAGGAGGAAGAAGTTATTTCTGAATTAAAGTGGTTCATATATATCCTTGGTCCTAAGGCCGTACAATGAATATGAATACTCAGTTGGAATTATTCAACATTCTTGGAACCATAATATGGACTGAATTAATGAGGTTTTGCTTAGGTGCTTACCAAACACCTTCCAGGAATAAAATTATGAACAGTCTGGAGTAAAAGACCAAATACTCTTGGACTCAGAAGATTCTCCTTGGAAAATAATTACAGTTTTATGAGCCAGAATTTTTCCAGTGCCAGGTGGAGCTCTCTAAATATTCTTTACTTAATTACTGTCTTCAGAACAAAATGTCAGTTATGTCAGTTGTCATAGCCACCAGGAGCTCTTTGAAGGCCTATTTCTGCAGAGCATTATCATCAGATTAAGATTTGCAGTTCTTCCATTTCTTATCATTAATTTGATCCTCACAAAATTTGTGGAAACGTCGTTGAAACTGCTGTATATCTGGCATCTTCTTTTCACAGAGCGTATTGTGCCCTGGGACAGTGAATTCAAATTTTTCAGGTAGATGCAGACAGCCACTCTAATGCATCCAGCTTTTAAAAATGATTTTTCTTAAAAGCCTGTGTGAAATGCCCATGTAGTTGCCTTTTAAGCTATTGTAACTGGGAAGGCATTTATGCTTTCTGTCATCCTAATTCAAGGTTAGCTCCAGGATGTAAGCAGGTGTCTGTATGGCTTTACCTCCTATATTTGTGAAAGAATTATGTTTAAGTTCAGATCCATGAGTGAAATCTGTTATCATTGAGTCATTGTTAGTTTAATTGTTTATGAAATACAAACCTTTCTTGAACCCAAACTCTATATTTAATCTCGTAGTTATTTCCTAACCCAAATTTTTGAACTGCACTTTGGATCAGTTTTTATTTATGGACATTTCTGTTTAAAGTGTGTTATACACAATCATTGCAATACAATTTTAATCAGAAAATGCAATAATCAAGGTTATATGTTATTCTAAGGTAAAGTCAGTTTTATTAGTTTTATTATGAATGTATTATATAGATCACAAATAAATGGTAAATTTGGCTATTATGATTATTATAAATCCTCAGTTCGGTGCATGGCAATTTATTTCTATGCTTTTAAAATATAACTAAAGCAACTATAGCTGCACCAAAATTAAGCATAACAACAGGAATCAACATTCCTTATGTATTTTTAATTACAATAATCCAAAAAGGAGATATGATAACATTCTTGATCAAATTCCATCCTCTGTCATGCTTGTAACTACTATAGATGTGGTAGGAAATTAAAAAGTGCAAATTCAAATTCATTGGATATTTGCATTTCTTTTTAGATTACCGACATAACGGGAGAGATCTTCAAAGTTCAACGCTATCAGTGCCAGAACAAGTTATGTCATCTAATCATTGCTCTCGATCAGGATCCCCTCACCGTGGAGATAGCATAGGACGGACTAGGTCGTGGTCTCCCAGTGTCCCTCCCCCACAAAGGTAAACTGTTATTTAACTATGCAGGTATATATATTGAAGTGGTACTGATTCTGTAATAATCCTGAAAAGAATTTCCAGATTTCCAAAATGGCAATGAATTAGTTAGCTCTTATGACATTATGTAAAGCAAATAATTTTTTTCTAATGTTATACTGATGTACAAAAATTCACATGGTTTTGTCTTATTTTCATCAAAAATCAGTACATTCCAACCTAAAGAAAAAAAAATTTCTCAAGATTTTCATTTTCAAGAGCTATTTAGAAGGTGCCATGTTTTATAGCTTCTCATGATTGGACATTTTCTTAGCGTTCATCTGTCAGTGGATGTTTTCAGCCCTTTTGTCAGCATAGAATTAAAGTTCTGAGAGCCACGCTTCCTGTCTGTAGTAGCCTTCTTTCTACTATTTTTCCAAACTTTTAAAATATCAAGAATAAATTGACCAACATAGAGTTTTATAGTGAAAAATGTCAGGTCCTGGTCACAGAAGGCCTCTGCTAACTATTTATCTTGTGACAGAAAGATCAGGACTTTTCTTCCAAAAGCTAACGATTTTGGATAATGATGACTGCTGCTTGGCTGAATATACTGTTTAAGCCAGAATTAAGAATTTTCCTGCGTGGATAAGCTTTTTTAAGAGGAAGCAGAAGGACAGATGTAAAGGTGAATACAGCCTGTTATCCAGCATTTTTATTACTGTGTCTGGGTAGGTTTGCACCTGGTGCAATTCAGCTGGAATAAAAAAAGGAAGTGATTTTCTTTGCCCGTAATCTTCACAATTCCCATTGAACACTGAAGGTCTGGCATCCAATATTTGCTGTCAGGTACATGTGTGTATCCCTTTCTTTTATAGCCATTCTGATTCTCTTGTGTTCTGCTTTCTGTTATCTTTTTTCTTTTTGTTAGCTTAAAATTGTCTTCATATTCTCTTACTTAGGTGTTTACTTACCATTTTCTCGAACAGATACAGACTAAATGATTTCCTTCTTCATTAGTGAGGTATTAGGATTCCAGATTATCCCATATCATCACAGACAGCTAACAGGCAGAAACTGTAAGTTTCTGCATGAAATCTAAACCCATATGTAAATACAGCCTGTCTTTAAATGAGGCATAAACAGCAGACATAGAGGGGCCTTTTCTAATTTCTGGTATACTGATTTCAGTCCAAGTAATTGCTTATGCTGAATCTCCTGGGGTCATCTGGATATAGACAGAATTGTGAACAAAATCTCTTTGCGTGTGTATGTGTGCGCGCGTGAGTGGTTTTGTGTGTGCGTGCATGCTCTGTGCATTTTGGGCAGAACTTTTACCCAAGCTAATAATTACCACATGTCTAACACCACTGAAAAACCTTCTGTTCATTTTCTTTCAGTTTCGCATTTCTTTACATGTATGAAATGTTCCTTGCTTCCTGACTTTCCTAAAGCTAAATTTTTAAATATGATTTTGAACTTACAAAGAAAAATGTTTCAGCTGTTTCCTGCAATGTCACAATAAAATGCATTGTTTATGTAATATTTCCCTGCCCATACACCAAATCATTTCTTTGAGGACTTGTCAAGCCCAGAGAACTGGGTTACCAGAACTTGATAATTTGTAGAAAAGAAATGTAATCCTTGCATTACAGAGATGTCTTTTTAAATTCTAATGAAAATCCAGGTGTAGCTGGCCAATCTACAAGCATTTTTAATCAGATTTGCACCACGTTAGTTGAGCTTGTTATATACATGCTGCTGTAGACATACTCTAACTGCAGTAAGCATGGTGCACGCCCAGAGACCTCTCAATTACTGACCGATGCCTCTGCAGGCAGGAGCTCTCGGGACATAAAAGTGCAAGTTGCTGTTACATCTTAGAAGCCATTTTGCAGTCCTCGGTCCTTCTACTGGACTTTGTTAATAAACTCAACCAAAGCCACATTGCATAGTAGCTGACAAGAAATTATTACTCCTCTTGTAATGTTTTCAGCTAATATATTTAATGGACTGTGGATCAGAATGGAGGTTAGACTGTGGCAGGCACTGGACAAGATCACATTTAGCTTTTTCTAAGACTGTACATTTGAAAAAGCAAGATGCAGGAGACTATAGAAAGTGGCTACGCTGAAACGGTGTGGTAAATCTAGTAGGATGCTTATTATTCTCTACCATTACCAGCTACAATTAGACCTTTTCATCTGTTTACCTGCTACCTGGTTGTTCTGTACATGTTCTGTCAACTTCAAGAAAGTTCCAAAGGAGTAAAGACAAACGTTGTGAAACCAACTTTTCTTATAGAATATATTTCAGTGGAGAAGTATGTCATTTTCTGTTCAACAGTAAATCTGGCTGACAAAGCCATCCTCAGCAGAGTGAAACAGAACTGAAACAGTAGTAACTCTTTGAAGTGCAAGAAATATAGTTGTGTAGGATGTTATAAAGCAGCAAGAAGTCAGAATCTGATGTAACACAGAAATTTAAAGAATAAAATATTAATTTAGAACAAGAAGCCAATAACACAATCTTAATGGAAGTGATATGAGCAGACAGGATGGCACTAAGTTTTCAGGACTAAGGCTTATAATCAGAGTTTAGGCAGGAGTTTTGATTGTGTGGGCAGAGAGCAAAGGTTAGATCTTTGACAAGTGTTTGAGGAGTGTTTTGGGAAGTGTACTACAGTTCACATTTTTATAGTATAGCCAAACTCAAGAGCTCATGGAAACTTCTTTACAGTTTATATTTCAGCTAGAAAGGAAATTTGCCTTGAAGATACTAGCATGGAAAGACTAACGAAATTTCGCCTAAAATTAAGCTTTAAAAAGAAAAAAAATACTGTCCTCTGAAATCCAGAACAAGAAAACATTGAAACAAGACAAAACAAAAAAACCCTATCCCTAGCATAGACTTAGCAGCTTTTTCTGTAAGAGAAATTTTTTTTGTCATGAATTTTAAAATTATGTGAGAGCAAAAGTGTTCAAAAGACAGACCAGCTAACACGTCTCATTACCATCATGTTTGCTAAATCAGTGAGGGAATGTGGTCCAGGCACACCCAGAACTCAGAATCTGATGTCTTTTATTCTTAGTCGGAATGTGGATCAGGGACCACGAGGGACTCGATCTACTCCTGTGCATTACAATACCCTGAACCGAATGGATAGACACCGTGTAATAGATGACCACTACTCCCCGGACAGAGAGAGGTAAATATCTGACTGGAATTAGAAACAGCTGTAACCTACACTCATCAACATAAATTACTTCAGCATAGTAGCTCATTGAAGTAAACAGCAAAATTACTTACCTAATCCCACAGATGATGATTTTAGAGGTGATGATCTTGGAGGTCTTTTCCAACCTTAATGATTCTATGATTCTGTGAACATGGTTTAGTGGGCATGGTGGTGATAGGTTGATGGCTGGACTTGATGATCTTAGAGGTCTTTTCCAACCGTAATGTTTCTATGATTCTATGAGTATTTCCCTACTCATTGATCCGCTAGTTCCAGAATATACATTAAAAAATATAGACTGCACACAAAGGTGACAAAACCATCAAGTTACTGTATCCTTCCCAAGAGGGAATCTGAAAAATCTGTGAGAAATTGTACAATATAAAAGGCAAATAGCTTAGCTGTACTTTTTTATTAAAGTATTTTTGTGTACTATATTAATAAATTCTTTAAGTGCTGAATATCTTTAAAAAATCTAACAGTAGATTTGGTCATTTTTGCTGCTGAATAGAGAGTCATAAAAATGGATTATTTCATCTCAGTATTAACATAATGCTCCTGTTTGATACATTGCAATTCACAGATATAACAAAAGTATATTCTAGCACTGTATTTGTCTTCTCTCAACTTTATGAGCCACTTTTATGAGGGGGGTGGGGAAAGGTTATGGCAGTGTCTGTTAGAATTAAATCGGGTTCTTTGTGTTTAGAGGCACATCTTATCATGACTAATGTTTTGCCTAATGGAACTTCCCAAAGAATGAGCAGAATTGTAGGAACCTCTATGAATTTTAGTGATTTAAAAAAGAATTGCAGGCAATAGTTGGCTAATGTAGTTAATTTTGCTGAATTGATTGTGGTAGTGCTTTTGTGACATTAAATAAAATATTTATATGATCTTTCACACCTCATCATCTTCAGGTCAGAAAATCAAAAGACAAAGTGTTTTTTACCTTTAATTTTGAAAATCTTCCAGCTTCTTATACACCAAGTTGAAAACCTGCACAATATATTCAAAGAGGCATGATTGCTGGATATTTCCCATTGCATAATTGCATATAGCAAGGAGTAATACAGATATATGTTGTAATCTTATTGAGTCCTATGTAACTAGTATTTGAAGTCAATACATTTAAAGATGACTATTACAGGTTATTCCTCAAGTGATAACCAAGCACATAATTGATGTTATTAACCTTAATAAAAAGAGTTTAAAAAAATCTGTGGCTTTTTGATAGCAATATTGAACAGAAAAAGTGAATATGTCTTAAAAGAACATCAATGTGATGGTCAATGATTGTAAGGAATGTAAGACAAAATAATTCAGAAAATAATTGTAATTAATTGTTCCTAATTAGGTAAGTCAGAAAAAAGAATACAAAAAAAAAATCTATTTAAGTGGTTTGGAATTAAATTCAGCCAAAACAAGGTCAAATGGGCAAAAAAAAAAAGATATTGGAAAACAATAAAATATTTATTATCCAGAGTGTTAACTGTATTCATTACAAGTGTAATATATCATAGATGAGCCTCTATTTTTTTGCATTAAACTAATTAATATTTCTATTTAAATTGTAGCAAAGAAGAATGCTATATAATTGGCTCATGAGTTTCATACAGAAGGCATTAACTTAAGGATTCTGAGCTTTTTCTTTAAAAGAAAAGAATAAAATGCTTTTGCAATAATATTGCGTTAATTTTTAGACCAATTATCCCTGAAATAGGATCTAAACTTGTCCTTAGAGCCTGTATATGCCCTATAGAATGCCCCTGGGTTTGTCCACTGCACCAGTTTGCTTGCTGCCTCCCAGATAAATGCATAGCAGTGAAAGGTGGCTTCAAGTGAGCACCGCAATCTTTCCCCATCACTTCAATTAAACATCCCCTACTTCACTGGCTTGGCTTAGAGAAAAACAATTGTTTTTTTAGAATACGTCAGAAAAACAATGTCAGAAAGTTGTTGGGGATGAGATTATTGAATTTTCACACGATCATTCTAGATGAAGAGGTATTTTTTAGGTGTGCTCTGAATCTCTGAACACAGGTTTATATGTCGTCTGTGTTTTGCAAAACACACACGGAAGTTTTCTGCTTTGTACATGGTGAGCGGTTGCCTGTGTAATCAGAGTGTTAACTAGTTATGACTCTATGACGACATACAGTCTCTGAAGCATATTGGTTTTATGCCACACTGAAGAGAACAGAAAAAGCCTATTCCCAAACGTTTATCATGTTTTATATTCATTGTTAATTTGACAGCAGTTTTATGAGTGGAAAGATTATTACACTTCAAATTTTGTTAGTGAATATTTGTGATACTGTCTGCATTACGTAATAAAAAACAATGGTGTGTACACAAGCCCCCAAAGTAACTCTTTAATGGTATTGATACTGAAAACTGCTGCAACTGCAGGCGATTTGGAGAAGTGGAAAAACAGAACCTTTGTATAGGTTTATAATCTTGCTACTTGTCACCCTGTTTTGTTCCACACTTAGCACTGGAAAAATATCACACTGCTTTCCCACAGCTCTGATGGTTTTGTTGTTTCCATGGTCTGTTTATCCCTTGGAGCTGCTTGTAAAAAAGAGACTTTGAAAAAGTACTTTCTTGTAGACATGCTCAATTGCTAAGTTAAAATATGACTGAGAATATGAGCAAGAAAATTCTTTCCTTCCTTTTCTAGATAATTCACCATAAAGTTCTTTAAGGCATATGGCACTAAAGAGTTAGTGGAAACTATGTACAAAAATGTCTAATGACCTCAAGGCTAATGCCAGTGTAAACATACCTTCAAAACTAAATGCAGAGTTAGAAGTGAATATTAGATTATTTAAAAATCTGAAATACATAGATTTTTAAATTTAATTTCAGATAATTTTAGTTTCAAACACCAAGCCTTTAAGTATGTCAAATGTTGCTACCAAATCATGTGCTGATTTTTGTTGGCAGAGTAAAGTTACATTTAAAATTTGTATCTGTTGCTGTATTATCAAAAATGTCAGAATTGTACTGTATATACAGGTAACTCAAAGTGGGAAATCAAGTTCATTTGTCACCTATATATTTAATATCAATGTACTAGTTCATTTTTGTCAAAATGTGAGGGAATTTTTTGCAAGTACCCACACACTTTTATGAAATACCCTAAAGATATAATGGCAAGGAATATGAGTGCTCATGACCAGCAGTCCCAAGTTCCATGAGATCCTTTATCTGTAAGCAGACAACCTTTTAAACTTCAGTTTAAGATGTTTTAATAAACTCTCTAAAGCAGACTTCTATCTCACTTCAGAAACTGAAACTAACAAAATTATAGAAAAAATGTTGGAAGCAACCAGATTTGACCTCAGAGTTTTATATTTAAGCTATCAATACAATTAGATGAATTAGAGGAACAGTATGAGAATCTTAGCATAGTTCCAAAACCAAGATGTCTGCCAAAACTATATCCGTGTATTACTTGCTGAAGGATACATCAGCAGTTAACAGCAAACACCAAGACAGTGTAAGGAAATTGTACTCAGGCCTGCAGGTCTCACCAGCTTAAATTCTATTTAACAACTGTTGATCTAACTATAGTTTTTAGCTAGATGTACCCTCCCCGAGGCATGAAATTGCTAATGGTGAATTTCGCATAGATATAGTAGGCCAGAGCGTTCAGAGAATGCCTAATTCAGACAGTCTTGCAGTTGAAACACGTGAGAAAATTCCTAAAGTATAAATGTTTTTGTACTCAGCACGTACAAGAAAGCAAAAGAGTAAAAGTTAAATTTTAAGTCTGCTATCCCTTCGTCAGGACTATTGCACATTTTAAAGAACAAAATTTGTTAACTACCATGCTAAAGTAATGAGGTAGTCATAGCTATGTGTATTTAAAGAAATATTCTCCATTATCTTTAAATTGTCTCAGAGATGATATCTTGGTGTGCTGGGACTAGCACGACTATCACACCACTATTACTGAGGGATTATTTCATTAGCACATTTAAATACAGACTTTCTGCTGAACATTTTGTTTGTTTCACACTGTTGAAAGAAGTGGGTTTTTTAAACATGTCTTAAAGTAAATGCCAAAATACATGCCAAAAATTCTGGTTACTGTAATCAAACCAGTGATGACCAAAATCATTCACTACCATGAGTCTGCTGCATGTTAGATAAGGTGCCATATAATTAGCTGCTCCTGTTATTTAGCACAAAATTAAACGTGGCCAAAAGCAATACAAATTCTACATTTCAAAAAGTCATCTCACACTAGCAGTTGCTTTATCTGTAAGTAGCACACTCCTAATCCAACATTATTAATAGCTAGGTGCCAGATTAGGTTAGACTAGGAAAGGAGTTTTTTGATACATTGCACCATAGTGAAAACCAGAATATTTATCAATGTTTTTTTCATATTCATTATTAAATACACAGCTGAATAATATGTAACTAAGTAATCATTTATTATTTAGTTGATATTTTACAGTACAATAGTACAGAACAAAGATATTCCAGAGTGTGAAAGGTAGCTGATGCTTTATGTGGAAATTCTGAGATAATATTTTCAATGTTTAGTTCTGTATGTCATATGGGTACATACCCATATGTGGATATGCAATGTAATTGTTTCTTTGCTTCTTCAAATGCCCAGTAAAGTAAAAGAAATGCATTGTTGAAAATTTGCTTATAGCTATGTTATAAAATGATATGCATCAATTTAAATTGCAATAATTGCAGTGTTTCTTTAAATTCTTTTTGTCTTTTCAAAACTTTACCAAGTGCATTAATAGCATATTGCACTTCTTATTTATTTTGTATATCTACACCTACTATTGCAAGTAAAAACATACTAGAGATTGTACCAGTGGAGATTCGTATAGGTAAGACTATCCTACACTTTCCATTAAGAGATTCTCTTTTCAGTTACTTACAATGTTGCCAAACACAATTTCCTCTCCCAGGGCTCCCACTCATGAGCCCTAATG